ACTCCACATGCATATAAAGTGTTGCATTTTACATTTATACTTGCTCCTAAGCGTTGACTTCCCTCCTTCCTTCTTCTGGTTTTTTCATCCATTTTGTATATTGTTATTCATTTTCCATATTTGTCCATAGTATATCGACGCTGTGGGTTAAATCACAGAGCCTAGGACTTGCCGCTCAGAAGGTCGGCAGTTTGAATCCCTGTGACGGGGTGAGCTCCCGTTGCTCGGTCCCTGCTCCTGCCAACCTAGCAGTTTGAAAGCACGCCTAAGTGCAAGCAGATAAATAGGTACCGCTCCGGCGGGAAGGTAAACGGCGTTTCCGTGCACTGCTCTGGTTCGCCAGAAGCGGCTTAGTCATGCTGGCCACATGACCCGGAAGCTGTACGCCGGCTCCCTCGGCCAATAAAGCGAGATGAGCGCCGCAACCCCAGAGTCGGCCACGCCTGGACCTAATGGTCAGGGGTCCCTTTACCTTTACCTTTAGGAGTCTCAAAGCGGCTAACATTCTCCTCTCCCTTCCTCCCCCACAACAAACACTCTGTGAGGTGAGTGGGGCTGAGAGACTTCAGAGAAGTGTGACTAGCCCAAGGTCACCCAGCAGCTGCATGTGGAGGAGCGGAGACGCGAACCCGGTTCACCAGATTACCCTATGTAAAAACCATATGTAAAAATGGCAATTTGTTTGCTCTCTGACGCCATCTGGTGTTGCATGTTTATAACGCGTTCAAAGCGTTGGGGTTTTTTTTACTACTGTAGCTGAGTCCATTGTCTCCCTTACTGAGGAATAAATGCCATGAAAAATTCCAACATGGCAGGCCAGACGAGTAGAGATGATGTCCAAGGAAGATTAGCGAAGAGGAAGATCAAAGTCTAGCTAGAAAAAAAAAAACCCAGCAGCTAGCAACTCCCAGCAGAAAAGTGCCCTGGCCCCTTTGTTCTCCTGCAAAAAAAACCCCACACACATATGGCTTTGTACCGTCATGTCTCTTGCAATCCTTTTGCTTGTTTGCACTGTGGGTTGAGCTCTATTCAGCAGCTTCTCGGCTCGCGCTCAGAACAAGCTCTCCTTTTGCCACAGCCGTCAAGCTGAGAGAAACTTCAAAGGGCTATTCTTCTCCCTAACAAAAGAAGGGGGGAAACTAGAGCCTCGCTAGTTCTGTAGATGGCCCACAATTTAGAAGGAACATCCATGCGCGCGCTTTGGAAATCGCTGCTGTGAGAATGCAGTGCTTTCGCACGCCATTGTGTACCTCCCGAGTGACGATGACACACAACAGACACTAATGGGGTGTCATCAGAAAGGGGACAATGCAGAAGAATTTTTAATCTTGCAGAAGGAGCTAAAAATGGATGCAACCCGGTGGGAAAGAGAGAGAAAAGCTCTTTTGCGGATATTACTTATTTATCTTGATGGAGCAGCCTCCTTTCCCCGCTTTGAAACATGATTCCCTTGTTTGCATGTTTAAGGCAGTAGCTCTTTTTGCCACCTCAGACCACGTGAAAATTGCTGATTGCAGCTGGTGGTTTTTCATTCTGCTTCTTGTTCTTAGGCAAGAAGCATATTCCTTAAAAAATAATAATGAGGTTTATAGAGAAAACTACAAAACTTAATATCTTTCCCCCTTTTTTTAACCAAACAAAGACATTTATCTAGATACAATAAGAACACGAAAAAGGTGGAGAGAAAGAAATAGAGAAAGGAAAAGAAATAAAAAATAGTAGAAAAGAGGTTTAAAAAGAAAGAAAAATAAGATTCCGAAAATAAAGAACTTCCGATTCTTCATCTGTCCGCTATATGAAAACAATATTCACTTTGTCCAATCCGATATAACACCGAAATAAAGCCACATTCTATAAACAAGCATGATCTTCAATCCTCAGAGTCCTCAAAGTCGAAGCGTATTCTTAACTCAAATTGTAATCATGCAACCGGTGTGATCGTAAATACCAGTGCTGTGCTTATTCTGAAAGTCAGAAAACATAAATAGCTTTCAGATCATCTGTTTTGAGTGCAGAAGGTCCCAGGTTCAGAGCTGCTGAAAGTCAGTGTAGGCAATACTAAGCTAGATCCATGACTCAAATTCAGGGGCGGAGGGAAGGGGTGCGGTGGGGGTGGGGGTGGGCCGCCCCGGGTGTCTTCGCTGAGGGGGGTGACATTTGGCAGTCATGGGCGGGCGGCGCGCTGAATGTCCGCCATTAGCAGCTCACTCTGCCCCTGACTGCTCGGATTAATAATAATAATTTATTATTTATACCCCACCCATCTGGCTGGGTTTCCCCAGCCACTCTGGGCGGCTTCCAACAGAATACTAAAATACAATAGTCTATTAAACGTTAAAAGCTTCCCTAAACATGGCTGCCTTCAGGTGTCTTCTAAAAGTCTGGTAGTTATTTTTCTCTTTGACATCTGATGGGAGGGCGTTCCACAGGGCGGGTGCCACTACCGAAAAGGCCCTCTGCCTGGTTCCCTGTAACTTGGCTTCTTGCAGTGAGGGAACCGCCAGAAGGCCCTCGGCGCTGGACCTCACTGTCTGGGCAGAACGATGGAGGTGGAGACGCTCCTTCAGGTCTATTGGACCGAAGCTGTTTAGGACTTTAAAGGTCAGCACCAACACTTTGAATTATGCTCAGAAACGTACCGGGAGCCAGTGTAGGTCTTTCAAGACCGGTGTTATGTGATCTCAGCGGCTGCTCCCAGTCACCAGTCTAGCTGCCGCTTCAGGGAGTCCAAGCCGTCGCGTCCTTCCCAGGTGCCCTCCAGCCAGGAAAGATATAATATATATAATATATATACCGTATTTTTCGCTCTATAAGACGCAGCAGACCACAAGACGCACCTAGTTTTTGGAGGAGGAAAACAAGAAAAAAAATATTCTGAATCTCAGAAGCCAGAACAGCAAGAGGGATCGCTGCACAGTGAAAGCAGCAATCCCTCTTGCTGTTCTGGCTTCTGGGATAGCTGCGCAGCCTGCATTCGCTCCATAAGACGCACACACATTTCCCCTTACTTTTTAGGAGGGAAAAAGTGAGTCTTATGGAGCAAAAAATACGGTAATATAATTTATTATTTATTATATCTGGCTGGGCTTCCCCAGCCACTTTGGTCGGCTCCCAACAAAATATTAAAATACAGTAATGCATCAAACATTAAAAACTTCCCTAAACAGGGCTGCCTTCTGATGTCTTCTAAAAGTCTGGTAGTTGTTTATTTTCTTGACATCTGATGAGAGGATGTTCCACAGGGCAGGTGCCACTACAGAGAAGCCCCTGTGCCTTGTTCCCTGTAACTCGGCACTGGACCTCAGTTTCCGGGCAGAACGATGGTGATGGAGACGCTCCTTCAGGTATACTGGGCCGAGGCCGTTTAGGGCTTTAAAGGTTAGCACCAACACTTTGAATTGTGCTCGGAAACGTACTGGGAGCCAATGTAGGTCTTTCAAGACTGATGTTTTGTGGTCTCGGTGGCCGCTCCCAGTCACCATTTTAGCTGCTGCATTCTGGATTAGCTGTAGTTTCTGGGTCACCTTCAAAGGTAGCCCCACGTAGAGCGCACTGCAGTAGTCCAAGCGGGAGATAACCAGAGCATGCACCACTCTGGCGAGGCAGTCCGCGGGCAGGTAGGGTCTCATCTTTTGTACCAGATGGAGGTGACAAACAGCTGTCCTGGACACGGAATTAACCTGCACCTCCATGGATAGCTGTGAGTCCAGAATGACTCCCAGGCTGCGCACCTGGTCCTTCAGGGGCACAGTTACCCCATTCAGGACCAGGGAGTCCTCCTGTACCCCCAGAACAGTACTTCTGCCTTGACTTTGCACCAATGTTCCTCTAGGCAGAGTCCATTGTGGATTTTGTGGAATCTTCGGCAGTCTTTCCTTGTTCCTCTTACAGAGCTCTGATTCCCAGAGTGGTTTAAGACTCAAATCCCCAAGGGTGGCGTGAGGGTGCCCTGTTTGGGTGGTTGCCACTGTGGGAAGCAGGTGCCCCACAGAGTCCCGGCTCCGCTTTGATTTCCACAGGCCTCTTTTAGGAGTTTCTCCCCGCCCTCCTAATTCCCTCACATATCCTTTCTTGAAACAGAGAGACCCAGGAAAACAGAGCGCTGTGCTCTAATGGCCTCCTGCCAGGCAAGGAACGGAGCGGAATAATTGAATTGCTGGCTTTACGCAGAAGAGGGACGTTCTGCCTTTTGTCCTTAACGTTTGGCCCGTCCGTTCCAAAAGTCATTTCTCTAATCCAGTCCCCACACCCGAATGCACACACGCTCTGAATCCTTTTATGCCTCACCTGAAGCAAACAACAAGCATCTCTCATCATGTCCGTTAGCATTAAGGCAGACTCAAGGGTTTCCTTCAGGAGAAAGGGATTTTTCTCTCACATAGAACCATAGAACAGTAGGAAGGGGTGCAGGAAAGGTGGGATATTCAAATGGAATCACATGGAATTACAAGGATTATTTGCTGTCCAGGTAGATCCAGTGGAAGCTCACCTTGGTGGGTGAAGCAAGTCCAGGACCTGTTCACATTCTTGTTTTTTTATTATTATTATTATGTACCTCCTGGTTTAATTCTGCTTTTTTATGCTGCAAACCACCTTGAGATCTTCAGATGAATGGCGGTATCGCAAATTCAACAGGTAAATAAATAGGAAAGAAACGCCTCCTGCAGTTCTGGGGTTTACCACTTGGGGGAGCTGCACACGGTTTCAGCGACTCCCAACAAAGGAGTCTCTCTAGGACAGGCTTCCTCAACCTCAGCCCTCCAGATGTTTTTGGCCTACAACTCCCATGATCCCTAGCTGGCAGAACCAGTGGTCAGTGATGATGGGAATTGTAGTCTCAAAACATCTGGAGGGCCGAGGTTGAGGAAGCCTGCTCTAGGAGATGCTTTGTGGATGGCTGCTGGTTTAGATGGCTAGAAAAAGAAAAAAGGAGATAAATTCATGGAGGAGAAACCTGCCTGGTTGGCTTTGGTTGGGAATAATATGCTGCAGAAAGTGGAGGATAGCTCAAACGGTAGACCACAAGACTCTTGATCTCAAGGTCATGGGTTTGAGTCCCATATTGGACAAAAGATACCTGCATTGTCTAGGGTTGGTCTGGATGACCCTCGTGGTTGAAATCTAGAATTCTGTGATGTGATGAAAGGGAAATGCGACCGTGGCTTATGAGGGATTCTAAGCCCTTTTTACAAATTAAACACTGATGAAACACAGGGTCCTGATGGTATCAGGCTAGAGGCACTCAAATGTGAAATGGCTGAACTTCTAACAAAAACGTGCTATTTGCCATAACAACGTAAGAATAGCCTGCTGGCCCACTGACGAAAGAAGAATGGAGGATGAAGTTGATGGACTATGCAGAATTAGATAAATTAGCAGGAAGGATTTGAAACCTGCGGGATCAGAGATTCTTAGAGGACTGGAGTAAATATATGAACTATTTGAAAAGTAATTGTGAGGAACAGAGTCACAGCTAGCTAGGATCTGCAAGATAGTCTTTGTAATGGTGGATTATCTGAACATACTTACTAAAAAGAATATGAACAAGAATTATTAGTTAAGGAATACATTCAATGCAATATAGAAATTAAGAAATGCAGAATAAGTGATAAAGCACGGAAAATCATGCAGAGGTATTGTGTAAGTCTTTAATTATATAAGATCTGTGTACATTGCCATGTATACAGTGGTACCTCGGTTACAAGCTCAGGTTCAGACTGCTAACTAGATAGTACCTCGTTAAGAACATTTTCAGGATGAGACAGAAATGTGCTGTGTGGCGGCTGGAGGCCCATTAGCTAAAGTGGTGTCAGGTAAGAATAGTGTAGGTTAGAACGGACTGAGAGTTATGTATACCAAGGTACCACTGTATTAACTTTATATAGTATATATATATATATATATGATATGATATATCATATGATAACTGAATAGCCTGCTGGCCCAGATAGTTCCATTGGTTCAAGCGTGGTGCTGATAATGCCATGGTTGCAGGTTCAATCCCCATAGGGAACAGTTGCATATTCCTGGATTGCAGGGGGTTGGACTAGATGATCCTCAGGGTCCCTTCCAACTCTACAAGCCTGTGATTCTATGATCAGTAGCCAGTATCGAGTCCAGCATCCTCACAGTAGCAAACCAGATGCCTGTCAGAAGCCTATAAGCACGAGAGCCCTCTCCCCTCTTGTGGTTTTCAGCAACGGGTATTTGGAAGCTGTAGAGACGGAGCATAGCCATTGTGTTAAGTTGTGGGCGAACATTTCAGACGACGCAGCGATTCTTCAAACAGCTCTTCTTTATTCTGAGGCCAGAACTGAACTGAGCTGAAGGGCTCAGTCAGCCTGCTTATATAGAGCTCCAGTACCTTGTTACTGTAACAACTTTCTAAAACTATCCAATCACTGAACGTCACTTTCGATCCTTCATTTGCATAACTATCTACAGTATCCCCCTGCTGGCCCAGGGTGAGAACTTCAGTACATAACACATTGTAGCTATTGACAACCCTCACATCGCTGAATTTGTCGATCCTATTTTAAAGCCATTCAAGTTGGTGCCTATCGCTGTCTCCTGTGGCAGGGAGTTCCATAAGTGCTGCATGAAGAAGTACGTTATTTTATTTGTCCCGAATCTTCCTTTTTTTAAAAAAATCATCTTTATTAATTTAAAATACAGTCATACATTACAGATGGGTACATCAGAGTTGAACCCAAAAATGAAAAAGAAAAAAGAAAAAAGACATAAAAAGAATTAACAGTAGAAAAAAAAAATCAGTTAAAAAAGCCAGTTATTTATATAGCATCATATCCTATCCAATAAAGTCTAATGAAGAAAACTTCCAATCGTTCTCATTGTACTTATTATGCTGTCATGATTTTATCGCACAGTTTATGACATTTTCTATTTGTTCCTCTAAGATGTTTATTTCGTTAGTTTATTATATTTGTCCCGAATCTTCCAACACTCAGCTACATTGGATACCAGTAAGTTCTAGTGAGAGAGAGAGAGAGAAAATCTTTTCTCTATTTACTTTCTCCAAGCCATAGTTAATTTTTAAAAACTTCTATCACATTGCCTCTTACTCGCCCAAGTTCATTTTCCATACCCAAGGTCTGGGAAAGTGGCCAATCTAATACCAAAAAGGACCTTTGAAATTGCCGGCTCATTAGCTTGACATCTGCTGTGGGGGAAAAACGAGTGGAAAGCATTGTCAAGAATAAAATTACCCAGCGCGTCGAAGAATGAGCCTCGCTGACAAAGAATCAGCATGGCTTCGGCAACGTTGAGTCCTGTCTAACCAGCCTTTCAGTGTTACACATGGCGTACTTGCATTTTCAAAAAGAAATCGTTTGATGAGGTTCTTTACGAAAAAGAAAACTCCTCCTGAGTAAGCTCGGCAGCCACGAGATGAAGATGAAGAGGTTCTCTTATGGGTCAGACACAGTAGAATCATAGAACTGAAGAATTGTAGAGTTGGAAGGGACCCCACGGGTCATCTAGTCCAACCCCTTGCAATGGAGGAAACTCAACTAAAGCATCTATTTCAGATGGCCCTCCAACCTCTGCTGGAAAATGTCCAAGGAAGGAGAGTCCATATCCACCCAAAGGGGACCGTTCCACTGTCAAACAGCTCTTCCTGTCAGAAAGTTTTTCTGATTTTTAGTTGGAATCTTCTTTCTTGTAACTTGAATCCTACCCTCCAGAGCAGAAGAAAACAAGCTTGTTCCCTCCTCCATGTGACAGCCCTTGAGATAGTTGAAAATGGCGATTGATGGTTAATTTTCAAGGTAAAAGTTCAGATTATCAGTGAGGAGTCAGCCCCACACAAACCCGGCTCCCTCGGCCTGAAAGCGAGATGAGCGCTGCAACCCCAGAGTCGCCTTTGACTGGACTTAACTGTCCAGCGGTCTTTAACTTCTTCTTTTTTCTGTGCAAGTCGGTGCATCTGCAGATGTGAAACCTTGGAGAGCTGCTGCCAGCCAGTGCAGACAATAGCTAGATGGAACAATGTCTGGTTCAGCAGAAAGGCAGCTTCTGATGTCCCGGCGATTGTAATATGTGGCTGGAGGGCTGCGTTCAACCTGGAAAGTTATGATAAGTGCAGGCTTGCGTGAATCACAGGGGAAGAGAGGGGGATTATTGGATTCATAGAATTGTAGAGTTGGAAGGGACCATGGGGGCATCTAGCCCAACCCCCTGGAGTGCAGGAGACGGTTGTTCTTTTTATTCTGTCTTTTATCAGGGGGTTTGGGCTGGGTGTTCATCAGTATGCGGATGAAACCCAGGACTACCTCTCTTTCAAATCAGAACCAGTGGAGGCGGTGAAGGTCCTGTGTGAGTGCCTGGAGGCGGTTGGAGGATGGATGGCGGCTAATGGATTGAGGTTGAATCCTGACAAGACAGAAGTACCGTTCTTGGGGGACGGGGGGAAGGCAGGTGTGGGGGACTCCCTGGTCCTAAATGAGGTAACTGTGCCCCTGAAGGACCAGGTGCGCAGCCTGGGAGTCATTTTGGACTCACAGCTGTCCATGGAGGCGCAGGTCAATTCTGTGTCCAGGGCAGCTGTTTACCAGCTCCATCTGGTATGCAGGATGAGATCCTCCTTGCTCGCAGACCTTTGAAGGTGACCCAGAAACTACAACTAATCCGGAATGCAGCAGCTTGACTGGTGACGGCTGCCAAGACCACATAACACCGGTCCTGAAAGACCTACACTGGCTCCCAGTACGTTTCCGAGCACAATTCAAAGTCCTGGTGCTGACCTTTAAAGCCCTAAACGGCCCGGCCCAGTATACCTGAAGGAGTGTCTCTACCCCATCGTTCAGCCCAGACACTGAGGTCCAGCTCCGAGGGCCTTCTGGCAGTTCCCTCGCTGTGAGAAGCCAAGTTACAGGGAACCAGGCACAGGGCCTTCTCGGTAGTGGCACCCGCCCTGTGGAACACCCTCCCACCAGATGTCAAAGAGAAAAACAACTGCCAGGCTTTTAGAAGACATCTGAAGGCAGCCCTGTTTAAGGAAGCGTTAATGTTTAATAGACTATTGTATTTTAATATTCTGTTGAAAGCTGCCCAGAGTAGCTGGGGAAACCCAGCCAGATGGGCGGGGTATAAATAATAAATTGTTGTTGTTGTTGTTGTTGTTGTTGTTGTTGTTGTTGTTATATCTCGTGAACTGCCCTGAGACCAGCAGGTATAGGGCGGTTTACAAACAGCAACAGCAACAGACACAAGCACGGACACTCTCAAAAAGCTGTCCAAGTCGAGGGAGGAGCAGGCAGTCTTCTCCGTGTGATCCTACGAGGTACCTGTTAATAGTAAAGTCGCTGTTTACTGCGAGGACGGGCTCTTTGCCAAGAACTTTCCCTCCCGGGAATCAGAATGGAGGAAGCTGACGATAAGATGTGGGCCCAGAAATATCCTGACTTATTAGCATGTGCCTTGCAATCTTCTTAAAAATACGCGAGATGATTCATCTCCCCATCTGGTTTGCAGGACGCTCAGACTGTTCAGAGGAATGAGACATTATTAGTTGATCATGTCTAATTATAGCCCAGGTGCTCAGGGGAAAGATCCCAATTTATCCTCACAACGGCCTTGCAAGGTAGGCTGGGTTGAGACAGGGAAAGCCTTGCTGGGCTCAATCTTGCCTAGCCAGTTTCTTTCTTTCTTTTTTTCAAAAAAAAATTATTCATTTTATAACACAAATAAAGAACACAAACAAATAAACAAACAATACAAACAAATTCTTGTCATATCCTTATTTTTCTAAACATTGTTAAGTGGGCTTCCTTAAATATTTTTCAAATATTCCTTAAACTTCTTTCAAATATTCCTTAAACTTTCAAGAATGACTCCCAGGCTGCGCACCTGGTCCTTCAGGGGCACAGTTACCTCATTTAGGACCAGGGAATCCCCCACACCTGTTGCGGGGATTCGAACCACAACCTTCTGATCTGTAAGCCCAAGAGGCTCAGTGGTTTAGACTGGGGTGGGCAGGCGCGGTGACACGTCAGGAGGAGCCAGGGAGCAGAGCTGAACATGGTGGCAGCACAGCTTCAGTGGCTGGTGG